TTCCATGACCCATGGGTTGTCATGGAACGTCCTGGAAAGAAGGAGAAGTTTCCATGTATTTTTTGCCGCTTTTCCATGAGTGTTTTTCCATGGGCATGTATTAAAACTCCATGGTGTAGGTCTCCATGCAACAATACTAAGCCCATGGACAACTTTACCATGGTAAAGCAAAGAGCAGAGTCTGTTGCCTACGTCAAAGTCAGTCTTACAGATGATTACGAAGCATGTTTTCGGGGGATCTGAACTGAGGCAGAGCCGAATCCGCTGTCTGTTTCAACGTAGTTACGGTCGTTTACGAGATAGCAGGAAAAAGTGCTCAAATTTGTATGAGATCAAAATGGCCATACTAAAATTCGACCGAGGTGCTAGGCACCAAATTTTGGACCGATATTCAATTAAACACAGATTTTACAGCTTTCTCAACTTTCATGGGAATTTGTTTTTCCATGGAGTTGAGAACAACACCTTGGCGAAAGACACACCATGGTAGCATATGCACTATTTCCATGATACGTCAAATGGAAAGTTAGTTCCAACTCCATGGGGACATAAATTTCCATGAAGGGCCAAGCCGCTTCCTCATGGGAAAGAGGCTCGACATGGAAAGTGAGCAGCCACACATGGAAAACGGTCCTTCTGCCATGGAATAGTGTTCATGGAATTCCATGTAGCGCATGGGATTGTAGGACTGGGGAGGCTGATACGGGCTGCGATCTCGACGCATCGATGCATTATCTCTTCACGGTCTTCCACCGGCTGCGCTTGTTTGCACTTCTTTTCAAGGGCGTAATAAGAAGTGAGGAAGTCCAAGGCACTTGCATTATTCCCTGCAAGGTGGAGGATATACCTTGGACTTGTTATCGGCTTAGGCACTGAAGCTCTTATCTTAAGGAGGCTCACATGTGCAACAGTAGCCGTAGTTTCTCCTATTCTCCCAACAGTTGGCAGATTAATGTTCTTACTCTTGCTTGTAAGGCATCAGCCTCCTAATCAGGAAGTTTGTTGATCCTTTTAACTCAAGAAGGATTGCTTCTTTTGATCTCACCTTTTTCATTATTGCATTGATAGACTTTATCACCTTCTGGTATTCATCATAAGTGGTCACTTCACAGATTCCAAATATCCACAGCATCGTTGATGCCAAAGAGTCAATATTGGCCATTTGCATTCCTGGCGTGTCAATAGGGGCACCTCCCCATTGTGCTAAGGTGTTTATCTCCTCTTTAGCAGATGCGTAAACATTTAGAGCATAGATCACATTTACATCCTGGGACCTATAGTTATAGACGCATTGTTGTAGATTATGCATGACTCATTGGCTGAGCGATTAGCGAAGCCCATTACTCCACTGACCGGAAAAGTTTCATTCTGTTTGTTTGTCTGTTTGTTTGTTTGTCCGTCTGTACGCACGATAACTCGAGAAAGAATTGAGATAGCGACCTGGGATTTTCAGGGTCGTTTTGTATCATAAAAAGACAGATCGAGTTCGAAGATGAGCATTCTAGCTCAAAAATTGGCTTTTTAAAAAATCAAAAACTACAGGTCGCAAAATGCATTTTTATCAAATATTTTTTTATGCGTTCCTAAGGGGTAACCCGTCAAAGTAGAGCCCTTTGGGCGAAAATTTCGTCCGTTTGGCTCTATCTTGTACCGTTTAGGTGCTAGGGGGCATTTCTTGACAAAAA